TTCACCCGATGCTTTCCTACCTCCCCAGATTATGTCTGAGCGTGGTTATGCACACTTGTAACCCCAGTATGCAGGGGGCCAAAGTAGGAAGATTGCTGCAAGTTAAAGGCCAACCTAGGTTGTTTCAAGAAAAAAAAAATGTAACTTAGGTCCTCTGGGTAAAGATCTCCAGACATAGCAGTTTTCCAACAGGGGACATGTTTTCCAACACAAGATTAGGCTAAGGTCTGAAGTCCACAACACATCCTGTGCACAGGAATTCAGAGGCACCTAGGATTTCCAGGAAATGAGCCTAACGAGCAGCTTGAAATGTGAGTTGTAAGAGAGCCTGTGAGCACCGAGACTGCCTACAACCAGACCTTCTGTCCCGGGGGTTTCTACATGAGGCTCTCAAGACCCTCATTCTAGCGATCAGCTCAGTAGTCTTTAAGGATACTTAGGGGCTGCTGGGTTTTATCCCACTCTGATGAAAACAGATGTAATGGGGTTGGGCATCTTGATGCCATTAAAACAGTAAGTCACAGCTTGCCATGCAGAGGAATTCTGGGGCCTGGTTGTGGGTGTGACTGGGGACCTAAATGCTCTAGACCCCGAGAGCTGATCCCAGGGTTAAGTGCCTTAAGCATGTTGGTCCTAAGCCCAGTTCTGCTGTCAAAGGAAAGCGCCTTTCCCCTGCACTTGAACACATGTGCTGTCAGTGCCTTTGGACCTGCATGGTTAAATTCCATCCAGAACCTCCAGGGTGAAGGAGGTTCTGCCAAACTCCACGCTCTTCATTCAGCAGGTCATTTTAGTCTCCAGTTAATCAGTCCATTTTCTGACTTGAAACACAGGATTCACTGGAACTCTGGCTGCTTTGGGGGAGGAGGGGGGTTGCGTTCTTAGAGCTTTCTTTCCTATTTCCTGGTTCAGTTATTGAACTTAGAAAAAAAGACCTGAAGAGGAATCTGAGGACCCAGCACCTAAAAATTTGCCTCTATTCCCATTTCTTGGAAAAGGAAGAAAGAGAACACAGCATTCAGTGTAGTCCTTTTATGTGTTTATATGAGCCTCACAAAGACCTCAGAAGGGTGACTGATAGAAACTCCTCTCAGCCTTTTTCCCGGATGCATTTTGCTTATCAGGTGTATGAAAGATTTTCTAGCCAAGAAAGCCTTCTTGATTCTTAGCTTATTTGTCCTAAAGCTGTAGACATGTACTCAACAGAAAGCCGTCATTCTGAGCCAGCCTGTCGGAGCTGCTGCTGTTTCTCCAACACCCCTGAAGTGCCGGGGGCTGCGTCTTCAGCCTCACAGCTTGGCTACGTCACTCTGTCTCCTCTGGGGTCCATGGTAGTACTGTTCAGTTCATTTGGCAGACCTGCTTCTAGATGTCTCACAGCCATAGTGAGCTCCCAGAACTGTGCCATGCTGTGGCACAGTAGAAGCAGTGTGCTATAGGCAGAACTTAACAGCAACTGCTTCAGGGTCAGCACTCATTTGAGTAGATAAGGTCTTGGCTGTCTTTTTTTTTTTTTTTTTTTTTTTTGGGGGGGGGGGGGAAATGGGGGGGGGGGGGGGGGGGGGGGGGGGGGGGGGGGGGGGGGGGGGGGGGGGGGGGGGGGGGGGGGCAAGGGAGGCTGGGTCAGGTAGGAGAGCACATGCCTGTAATTCCAGCATTTGAGGCTGAGGTGAAAGGATTGCCATATAACCAGGCATGGTGGCATATACCGTTAATCCCAGCACTTGGGAGGCAGAGACAGAAAGGTCTCTGCGTTTGAGGCCAGCCTGGTCTACAAAGCAAGTTCCATGACAGGCCGGACTATGTAGAGAAACCCTGTTTCAACTCCCCATGTTAAACGCCCCCCCAAAAAAAGCCTTGAGTTTGAGGCTAGCTTGAACTACAGACCTTGTATCAAACAAAAAGTCTCATTCCTACTCTCTGGAATGTTTATTCCCCTCAATTCTTAACTAGAATTAAGCCCATATTTCACAGTTTTTTAATTCCTGAGTCAGAGTTTATGTCATTCGTGAGAGAGCTGGTTTTGCAAGGGGCCTTAGGCTATGCAAGTAGAAATGATAAAGCTGGAGTTGCAGCCTACTGGCAAGCATGAAAGTCTCTGAAGAGTATAGTGCAGGAAGGGAAAAGATAGAAAATGTATATGATGTGAGTACTGTATGGTCCGCTACAGTCCAGCCAGTGGTGGTCTAGTCAATGTGGAAGAACATCCCATCTCTTTGGTCATCTGGGGTGTACTACCAACTAGATCAACCCAGATAGCTCAAACCCCTTTGGGGTAAGTATGCCAACCTGCTGTGTGTTTGACAAGGTCTGAATGGCAGGGTGGTACTTCCCAGACAACTCAAACTTAAATGAGACCTTTGTGTGAAGGACAGATGACTTTCCTACCTCTGAGCTTTTTGGGAATCTTGTGGAATGTTGACAGTTATTTGAAACCTTAACTCAGTTATATTCCTATCCTATCCCTGGGAGCCCTAGGCATCCAGCCCAGATTTCCATAGGAGCTGGAGTGAAACTACAAGTGAGAACTTTCTAGTAAAGGGCTCCTCTTCCCAGAGCCAACCAAACAAGAGGCTGGGAGTGGTGGTGAACAGTTGAAGAAACTCAGACAGGAGGAGCACTGTCCATTAGAGAGCAGCCTAAACTATACAGCAGAAAACAAAGCAAAACCACATGGGAGTGTACCGGCTGTGTGGTGCTAAAGAGAAAAGCCATACATTCTCATTTCCGGTGTTTCTGTATAAATAAAATGAATTATGAAAATTGTTTCAAAATCGTGGAAAGTACTTTTTTAACCGAATAAACTATTTTTACAGCACTGTTTTTGCCAAGAGTTGTGAAATCACTTGTGTACTTGGGGCAGGAGGTTAAATGCCTGCCCTAAAGTTGTTCCACTACCGAATCAGCACTGAAAATCTCATCTCTTGCTGGACTCACTATTTTAAGAGCTGCTGTGGTCAGAGTATAACAGCTAGACTCACATAGCATCAAAGCTGAAACTCTTAAAGCCATCTAGTCCTACTGTTGTCCATAAACAAGCTGGTCCTCATCAGGACCTGTATCTTAAGAGTTTTAGGGATTGTTCGGGTTGACCTAGTAAACCTCAAAGTGCCTCCAGTGGCAAAGCTCCAGAGTGCAGGTGACCTCAACACCGTGCTTGTGGAGATGGGATAGAGAGACAAACCCAGCTCAGTAGGATGCGGTGAGCTTTAGGAATCGCAGAGCTAAATAAATGTCAAGGCCATGGAGTCCTGTCGCACAGTAGTAGGACAGGCAGGATGATAGTCAAAAGTTAAAGGCTCAATTGAGCTGGGTGGAGCATACCTTTAATCCCTGGGCGAAGAGTCAGATAGGCAGATCTCTTGAGTTGAAAGATTATAATTTGAAAGATTATAATTTGGGGGCTAGAGAAATGGCTCAGCGGTTAAAAGCACTTGATAATCTTCCAGAGGACAAAGGCTCAATTCCCAGCACACAACCGTAACTCTAGTCCCAGAGGATCCATTACAAGGATGTGGTGCACAGACTTGCAGGCAAAACACCATACATAGAAAGGAATAAAAATCACATATAATTTTAAAAATAAAAGGTCACCAGCCAGATACAAGGAGTTCCAGCAGCAGAACTACACAGTCCCTATCTTGAGGGGAAGGGAAAAAAAGCTAACCAGGTGTGGTGCTACATGCCTGTAATCCTAGCACTCGAGGCCAAAGCCAGAAGGATCATTAGTCTGAGACCAGTCTGGATTACATAATAGTACACGATGTGGGGGGAGGGGGAGCAGCTTTCAGCGATAGGTCATAGTCCTGTTTGAACATATAAGAAAGAAGGTACCTGGCTAGGTCGGAATGCAGTGGGACAGGAAGATACTTCTGTGTTACTGAGAGCTGAACCTTTGTCCCTACAGTCAGAAACTGGGCTGGATTTTATACCCACCTCCACCACCCCTGTCCATTCAGCCAAGCTCGTCTTGTCCAGTAATGATTGCAGTCATGTTTCTCGATCTTGCTTTTCCTAATAAGTCCTGGTGGTAAGGGGGAAATGGCCATCAGTGGTTTCCTATACCATTTCTGTCCTCCATTTGTCTCCCAGCAAGCTTTCTCCTCTTGAAGCCCCAATCCACAGCTTGTTCTGCTCTATTTGCTTCAGCACAAGGGACTTTGTGAAGCTAACCTTGGTTTCACCAGCCTCTACAAGCCTGAGATTGTGCTCCCTTGGGATAATGACTCTCCTAAGAGTGGTCTCACGGGGACCCCACTGCTCGGCTGCCTCATAGGCAGAGCCAGGCACACCTATCACACCACAGGACATAGCCTGCCCTTTCCTTCATGGAGAGAATGTTCCGGGTACACTCTCAGCCCATCAATTGAAGGGAGACTAATGGGTAATTTATTCCCTATTATCTCTTCCCAGATTCCATTTAGTCCCTCACCTTTCCCTCTAGCAAAGAGCACCTGGGTGTGTTCATCTTTACTGGCCCTACACAGGCACCTGTATGTATTTAAAATGGATATCCTACTTAGTACCCTAAACCTTATTTAAGTGTTGAGTCGTTAGTCGGGAAACATCTTGAACACAGTGACTTCTGGCCAGTACTCTGTGTTCTTGTATGCCCCCAGAATAAAAATAAAAGCAGCCCTCTTCCAAAGTTTGCTAATGGGGCGGGTCGGAGGGAAGCGGGTGGGGTGGGCAAAACCAAATCCAACGTGCTTTGGGTTTCCTAAGCCAGGACCAGGTTTGGTACTTGCCTTCTCATCCACCTGCCTCATGCCTGTCAAGATTGTGGCAGGCTTGGGGCTCCGCATTGAGTTAGGGGAGAGCCTCCCCAAAGCCTTGACAGTCGGCCGAGGCAGTGGAGGAAGGCTCTTTCAGCCACGTGTACGATGACAGCCACAGGCTACAGTCACGGGCGGAGCTGCAGGGCCGGCCAGCCCGCACTCCCACCGCAGGAATGACAAACACAACTGCCCTCTAGATCTCGGTGTCAGAGGTGTCCGGGCCATCGCCCCCGGCGCCCAGGTCCCCTGGACTTAGGGTACCGCCCACGTTTCCCCCGTGACATTGCCGCGGGGGCTCGGGAGTTGTAGTCTCGGGCGGGGCGCCGGCACCGGGGCCGGGGCTACGCGGACTCCACGTCCCGGCGGGCGGCGCGGCGGGCCTGGGGCCGCCAGGGGCGGGGCCGCTCGGCCCTTTAAACCTTTCAGGGCTGCTCCGAGGGCCGCAGCTGGAGACGCAGCCACGAGGGGGCCGAGCAGGGAGCGGCGGCGGCGGGGCGCTCCGGGGAGGTGCGTACTGGACTTCTTTTCTCTCTCGGCCACTAAGGGTTCGCCTTGGGGAGCCGGGCTCTGGAGGGAGGGGAGTTGTCGCAGACTGCGGACTCCTACCCAAGCTGGGGTCCCTGTGCCTACCCGAGCGAGACCCGGTCGGGTTTCCCTCGAGAACCCGCCCCTTTGCCGGGGCGCGGTGGTCAGGTGGTTTGCCCGCACGCCAACGCCTCGCAGCCGCTTTCTCGGCCGGGCGAACCCTTCCAGGCTTTCCCTGGCATGATCCCCATGATTGTCCTAGCTCCAGCCTCCACCGAGCCGGTGTCCCTCAGGTCGGGGAGCGTGGCTCTCTTTCCAGATGTTACAGCCTTGCCCGAGGGTCTCAGCGCGCCGGTGGCATTTGAGTAAATCTCGCGGAGGCCCCAGATGGATAGCCAGAGGGTGCCACGTTCCGGCTGGGGCTCAGCCCAAAATCTGGACGCTCGAAAGCCCAGGGAGAGCTCTGGGTGAAGTGTTGCCCACCCTTCCCCTCCCCCCGCCCTGGCCAGTCACCAGACCCTGGACCTTGATCTCTCTCCCCCACCAGGCCAGGGCAGCTGATGATTGTGGCTGAAATATCTCAAGGTAGCTGGGCCTGCCCCCTCTTCCCCACCTACCTGTTGTCCTTACCCCCAAACCACCACCACCCTGGCTCCACTCCCTCATGACCGCCTGGATCCTCCTTCCTGTCAGCCTGTCAGCATTCTCCATCACGGGCATATGGACAGTGTAAGTAAGAGAAGTGTGGGTCGAGGGTGGGGGCTCTAACAGGACCTTGATGGCACATAAAAAAATCTGTTGACCTGTTTGTAGGCTCCAGAATGGTGGGTACCCAGGGTCACTCTGTCTCCAAAGCCTGGCCTGATTCCTGGGCACACAGCCTCGTGAGACAAGCTGGCACAACTGCAGTCCAGCAAGACAGCTCCGACATATACTAGGCAGGACACCTCCAGAGGGTCTTTGGTTGGAGGCAATTCTGCAGGGTCTGCTATAGCATCAGTACCTACCTCCTCACTCCACCAAATGACACCAAGGGACAGTGAGGCTGAATTAGGCCAAAAGTCAAAGAGCCAGTAGGGGGTGGCTGGGCCTGAAGAACCATGGGGACAGATGACAGGAAGCTCTGCTTCCACAGGTATGCCATGGCCGTGATGAACCGCCACGTGTGCCCAGTGGAAAACTGGTATGGAACATTCAGCAGATGGCCTCACTCTCAAGTTCCCTTCATCTCTGTCCCTCTTTGAGCCCACAAGCCACATGGAGACCATAGACATCACTGCTGTTCCCTGACATTGGTCTCCAGGCATGACATCCTGCCCGCCCACCCACTTCCCATCATCCCTTCATCCTCTTTACTTATGCTCCAGGAAGGCCCTGGGGAGGTCAGAAAGATTTCCAAGGTTTTGAGATACCCCTTCCCAGTCTATCCTGTGTCCTACCTGCCAGGTCCTACAACGAGTCCTGCTCTCCTGACCCCACTGAACAAGGGGGCCCTAAGACCTGCTGCACCCTTGATGACGTTCCTCTCATCAGGTAGGTCCTGGAAACTGGGCAGACTCTAGGTCCCTCTGCACTTCAGAAACCCCCTCAAGCAAAGGACTGTCTCTGGATCTCAAGATGAAACACACTTAGCCAAGTAATATTACCAAGGCTAGTGGCAAAGGGCTATACTCCTAGCACTTGGGAAGTAGGAAGATGAATTCCAGACCTGCCTGTGCTGTGTGAGACCCTGTCTCAGGGAAGAACAGAGACAAGGGAGCCTGGGCGTGAGTATGTAGCTCAGTTGGCAGAATGCCTGCCTGGCATTCACAAAACCCAGCACCACATAAAACTAGATGTGGTAGCCCAGGCCCACAATCCCAGCACTCTGGAGAGTAAGGCAAGAGGGTCAGAAATTCAAGGTCATCCCAGCTAGTTTTTGGCCAGCCTGAGCAATGTAAGACCCTGTTTCAAAGGAATAAATGCACTACTTGCTATTTCTAGGACTGGGCATTCTGCTGAGTTGTATATGCCAGTAGTGCCTTTCCATCCATCTTCAGGTTAGGATCTCTTTTCACTTTTGATGTGGAAACAGAGGCTTGGAGATACGCATTCAGGTCATACAGCTAGCCAATGAAAGTACCCGGATTTAAGGTCAGCACTACTGAGTGCCCAAAACAAGCTCAAGGAGATTTAGACCAGCTGCAGGCCTCAGCAAGGAGTCTCAGATCTGCCAGGCACCTGGGACACCTCTTTATCTCTCTTACACTTGAGCTCTATTTAAATCAGAGGCTCTCCTGCTGAAGGACCAAGTACAGATAAAGCCCCCTCAGGGGATGTAGGAGGGGTGTAGAGGGCCATGGGTACTCCTGCCTTACTGTCCTCACCCCTCCCCTCAGCAAGTCTGGAACATATCCCCCAGAGAGCTGCCTCTTCAGCCTCATTGGCAACGTGGGTGCTTTTATGGGTGAGTGATACTATAACATCCCTACCCTCATCTCCAAAAAAAACCAGAAATGTTTACTCTGATCAAGAGCTGGTGAGGGGGCAATTTCTGTCCTGTTCACTGAAGGCCAGATGCTAACTAATCTTAGCTGCCCTGGATAAAAGCCTGGCACTAGCAGGAAGGACACAAAAACAGTCCTACCTTCTTGTCCACAACCTTGTAGCTCTCAGCAAGAGGCTGGAGAGCAGGCTGGGAAGGTTGGAGGAGGGCAGGGAACTGGCCACAGCATTACTGTCTTCCCCTAGTGGCCCTGATCTGCCTCCTTCGCTATGGGCAGCTCCTGGAGCAGAACCGGCACTCCTGGATTAACACCACAGCACTCATCACAGGCTGCACCAATGCTGCGGGCCTTGTGGTGGTCGGCAACTTTCAGGTGCCTCCTCCCAACCTCCCCTTAATAGGGTCTAGCTGCCTGCATGGGCAGCGCCTGGAGGCTGATCCAGGAAGGGAGGGGGTGAGGAGGGAAAGAGAGGTGGGGCTACTTCATGGATTAGCCCCTGTCTGAGCCAGGTGGACCATGCCAAGTCTCTACACTACATCGGAGCCGGTGTGGCCCTCCTTGCTGGGCTGCTCTTTGTGTGCCTGCAATGTGTTCTCTTCTACCATGGGGCCACCACCACCCTGGACCTAGCTATGGCCCACTTGCGAAGCGTGCTAGCTGTCATCGCCTTCATCACCCTGGTCCTTAGTATCCTTCTGGGACAGGGTAGCCAGGACTTCATCCCCTTAGCTCAGCCCTTCTCCCACCCAAGTCGGGGGTAGGGGTGGGATCTTGAGCCCAGTGACCATTGCCCTATAGTCTCCTTATGAGGTCTGAGCCTTTACCTCAACATACTTAAATGTACGGGATGGCCGAACAGTGCTGCCAAGTCCACACATCCCATTGAACCTTTCCTTAACCCTACCTACTCCAGGTGGAGTCTTCTTCTTCCACGAGAGTTTTCAGCTGCAGCATGGGGCCGCCCTGTGTGAATGGGTGTTTGTCCTCGATATCCTCATTTTCTACGGCACCTTTAGCTATGAGTTTGGGACAGTCTCCTCAGGCACACTGGTGGCTGCTCTGCAGCCCGCCCCTGGCAGGGCCTGTAAGTCCTCTGGGAGCAGCAGCACCTCTACCCACCTCAACTGTGCTCCTGAGAGTATTGCCATGATCTGAGTCTGGAGGGTGGCTGGCCCAGCCTCCGCGGTACCCACACCCTCTACCTTCTTTGCATTTCTTTTGTACCAAAAACAATTTTTTAGAGTATTGTTGGGATCTAGGCTTCCTCACTCTTGGAGAAGTGGCCATCCAACATCCACCTGTGCCATAGAGGAGCGTGGTCTCGCCAGCTGCTCTGCTCCATGTCCTGTTACCACATACCAGAGCAGTATTTTGAGTTAAAGGTCACCTGTCCTCACTTGCCCTGCCAGCCCTTCAGGTGCCTTCTACTCCCAGTGCCAGAGCCAGACCACTGGGGTTTCCTGTTGCAGGAATTGGGGGCTGGGGCAGCAGGGGCCCAGAAGTCTGGATGATGGGAGGAGCATGCCTTAGCATAAGGGAAGGCCCACCCAGCTGCATTTGGGTTCTTCACTCTGTCCCTCACTTCCTTTAGGGCAAATAACACAGCAGAACCACATGAGTATTTTAGTACTTTTTTATATCTATTAAAAGAATTCTAATTTGCATGTTTGCAGTCTGTTCTGGAGAATCAGGGAGGGTCTGATCCAGTAGGTAGGGATGAGAAGAAACCCTTTCATCCTGGAAAGATTCTTGAGGGTTGCCAGTAACTAAGAGTGACAGGTGCCATCTAAATACATCAGAAGGGTCTGGGCATGGTGGTACATACCAGTAATCCTAGCAATAGGGAGCTAGGAGGTAGAGGATCTCCTAAGTTCTGTGTAGACCAGGCTCAGCCAGCCAGGGCCACATAGAAACTCACTCTCAAAACCTTGACCCCTTTATGAGTCTAAACAAGCTAAAGACCTGGCTTGGCTTTGTAGTCTAATTTCTTTCCCCTGCCCAGTCTGGCTTGAACTTTGATTTCTTGATACCGGGGACTACAGGGACAGGATACAGAGAGCAACTTTTACAATGTTAAAAGTTTTCTCTGTGGAACTAAAGAACACCCCCAGGATTCCAATGTTAACTAAAGGTTCCAAGGTTAACTAGATTCTTCCGGAAGGGGGTGGTGCAAGTTAGTTTATCAGTTTCAAAAAGCTACAAAGTGCCAGACCCTGACACAGTGTGACTTCTAACCAAGAACACTCAGACCCAAGCCCTGGCTGCTACCAGGGCCCCACCACCCAGAGTCTAGAGCCAGCAGAAAGGGAATTGCAGCCTGGCACCTTCTACCATTTGAGACCTTTGCCATCTTTCTCATTAGCAGCAGAGTTGAGGATGAAGAGCCCCTGCTCGGGCATGTGAGCAGTGCACCTGCAGAGTGGGTAAAGAAACCTTTAATGAAGACTCAAAGTGCAAAAGGGCATAGATGTCACAGAGGCCGAGCTCACAGCCCTGATGGTGCCTCACGTGTACATGGCTCCATGGAGGTTCTCCAGGCGGTGCCGCTGCTGCTGCCGCCGAGCCTGGAAGAAAGACAACAGGCTGGGCAGGGCCAGGCTTGAATCCTGATGGATAGGGCCACACAGTAGCTGTCATGGAGCCTGTTTTCAGGTTCCTAGCATCAGCAATGCTAAGGCCTTTGCCCCTTACTAAATTAATTGACTTGGAAGAGAGCCAACATGAAGTGGTCAAGAGACCTGTCCAAGCCTGCTGAGGTGGAGGGACGGGTGACCAAGCCCACTGTATCCCTCCACAAAATCACCAGCCCCTACCTTGTCTTTCTTGTGCTCTTCGTAACTATCATCATCAGTGGGCAGCTCATGGCGGCACATGGGGCAGGAATTTGTCTAGAAAAATCAGGACAGTATTCCAGCATTTTCCTGCTCCTGATTTCCACCCCTGCTCCTACCCTTCCTTAATTCCCATCTCAGTCCATAACCAAAACTGAAGTTTCTGATTGGTTATCAGGGCAGGGTAAGGGCTGGATGAAGTACCTTACTTAGCCAGGGCAGAATGCAGTTGGAATGGAAGAGGTGATGGCAGGGCATCTCAATGACAGTCTCCTCCTCCTCAAATTCCAAAAGGCACACAGGGCACTTGAGCTCTTGAAGAGGATGTGCTGATCAGGAGAACTGTTAAGGCCCCACCCCAACCTCCCACTCAGACCCAGACTTGGCCTAGAAAACTAACAGGCCAGATTGCGGTGGCTTGGGGGAGATGGCAGGTCTGGCTTATCTGCCCTAAACAGAAAAGAAGACCTTGTATCCTCACCAGCCTTGGCGCTACTGATGACCGTTCTGGGGAGGCTCTCTACCACGGCCTTGGCAGCTGGTGGAGGCAGGTGGTGTTCCCAGTCTACCAGTCCCAAGTCCTCAAAGTCCGTCCTATTCAAGAGTGATCTGAGGAAGAGGGGGTAATGTCACAACTAAGGAAACCACACATTTTTGGTCCCCTTAACCCCCTAGACACAGACAAAAACACGTGTCCTAGCTAATAATGACCAGTACACAGTAACAGCTCAGGAAAAAAAAAAAAAAGGCGGGGTGGGGGCGGGATGAAGCCTCCCACAACACTTGGGAGGCTGTGAGTTCGAGGCCAGCCTTTTCTAGGTATTAAGTTCTAGGCCAGTTAGGGATACATAGTGAGACTGTCTCAAAACACAAGAAAAACACCAGCACGGCCAGACAACGCTAGCTCGATGTTCATTCCCATTTTACACCAAGTAGCGGTCTCAAAGAAGTCGTTCAGTAATGACCGGGTAACGCCAAGTTGATTCCGGGGCGGCAGCGGACTTCTGTGCCAGCTTACTGCTAGAATCTATCCAATTTACGCGCACAGACACAGGTCGTGTCCGCTCCCCCGTAACAATCTTCTCCGGTGTATCCCTCTGCGACTCCCACCCTTTCCAGCTCAGTCCTTCCCACGATCCTCTGGCGAGTCCTGCTCATTAATGGCCCAAATTAATGACTCCCGTCTACTCGCGTTGCCCAGACTAACATTTCCATATTATTCATCCCATCTCCCAGGTTACCCGCCCTCTCCGCCAAGCCCCAGCCCAGAAACCTGCTGCCCGGGGCCCAGCTCCAAGCCCCGCGCACTCTCCTCGCGAGCTCCAGCAACATATTGTTGCGGGCCTCGCGATCAGGGTTCAACGGCTCGCAGTCGTGCTCATCAAAATAAGACGCCATGGCTGCCGGATTGCTAGGCTTGTCTGACACAGCTCTAGGTTGCCGCTGGATAGCCGGATCCCGCCCTGGCCAATAAGCGAGCGGGCTTTGAGAGGGCAGCCAATCAGAGTACGCGTGGGGTGGGCTTAGTGGCTCGCTGGCCGCACAGAGGCGCGGAAGTACAGATTCGGTCGCTTCTCATTGGTCAGAAGAGTCAGGTGACCAAAGGTTAACGCTAATAGAGTTGGAGAACGAGGGAATTCCGGGGAGTTTCCCGGCGTCACGCCCCGAGGGCTCTCTCAGTGTCCCACAAGTGGGTGGAAGTGCAAGCCGGAAGTCGTTTTGAGTCTCGTTGGTTGAGTTTCCCGTCATGCCCCGCCTACTCCTCGAGAGGATAATTCCCACGCATTTGTGATGTTCTGGGTATAAAAATAAAGGGTGGAAGGGCTGGAGTGGAAGCTCAGCTGACCCAGGTTCTAGTCCCAGCACCCACAGGCGGCGCTCAACCATCTGTAAGACAATTTCCAGGGTTTTGACACTCGGCGGGCACCAGGCACGCAAGGACGGACAGACAGAAGGGCAGCAAAACACCCACACACACATTAAAAAAAAAAAAAGTACATTTAACCCCAGAACTCAGAAGGCAGAGGCAGGGGGATTTCTGTGAGTGTGAGGCCAAACACAGCTACAAAGTGTGACCCTGTCTAAGTCAATAAAAAGTAAACAGCCTGGCGGTGGTGGCACACGCCTTTAATCCCTGCCCTCGGGGGCAGAGGCAGGCGGATCTCTGTGAGTTCAAGGCCAGC